GAGCTGCTCCTCACACCCCCGGGGTATTTATGTGGGGTGAGGCTCAGCACTCCCTGTCTTGGCAGCGCTGGGGAGCCAGGAGACAGGTAAGGCAGGGCTGGTGGGGAGGTGTTCATGGGGTTTGGGGCCTGCCTGGGGCTCCCCAAGGTCACCCCTCACCTCAAGGTGGCTCCTTGAAGCCCTTCCAGGGATGGAGGGTGGCGGATGGGCTTGGAAATTGCTCTGTGCCTGGAGCCCTGGGGAGCAGTGAGGCTAAAAGGTACCTGCTGAGGGGCTGTGCTCACCCATCCCACACAGATGTGGATAGCACAGAGCTGGAGCTGTGTCTGCTGCCCTCCCCATCTGTGAGCTGGGGGCTGTCTGGGCTTTCTGAGGCCAAAGGTGACATCTCATGGTGTCAACCTGCATCTGCTGTGCCTTGGGGAAGAGCTGAAAGGCTTCAAATCCTCCCCTAAACGCTTCAAATCCTCCCCTAAACGCTTCAAATCCTTCCCTAACAGCTTCTTCCTAGCCCTGAGATGATGTTCTTGATAAGACTGTGGGTCTCTGATTGGTGACTGAGCAGCTTGGGGGCTGAAAATTCATTTCTGCTCGTTGTCTGCTGGGGACAAAAGCTGTGCCAGGGGGTCTGCAGGACCCCCTACAGGAGAGGTGGGTGGCTCTGCCCCCCAGCCACCTGACGTGCACCCTGGTCACCCCCACTGCCCTGGTTAAGCTCTACGTGCTTTGGTGGGCAGACAGATCACTGGGGCATCCCCTTCCTGTTGACAGTGCTGCAGGACCTGCCTGTAGCTATTTCACATGATGATTTGGTGTAGGCATGATAATAGTGTTAACGAAGGGGGTGGCCTGAGTGACAAGGTGACTTCTCTCTTGCTCAGGAGCACCGTGTCTCTGCAGACAGAGGCTGTGGCCATGCACAGCTCTGCCAGCTTGCTGGAGGGAGAGCTTGGCAAGGGAGCTTCGTGCTTCTCAGGACTAGCAGGGTTCTTAAATGTGGTCATGGCTACCTGAGACTGTACAGCAGTGAAGGACTTTAATTACTGAAGCTGGTTCTGCTGAAACTTCCAGATGCAAATGTGTGTTAAAGAGCAGCAAGCTGCTTGCTCTGCAAGTTACAGCTTCTGCCTGAAACTCCAGGGTTTGTCCTCGTGGAAAAACTGGTACATGGAAAGTACTGGAAAGCCCAGACGCCGTTTTAATTAAACTCCCTCCCCTCTTTCCTAAAGTATCTCCAAATTCAGGTAGCTTGGATAGTTTGTACACTCCCAAGGAGTTACTGCCCTAGTAGTGGCCACTGGCTGTGGTGCCTAATTTCCACTGGAAGTGTGGGAGAGGAAAACCTGCCTCCATCTGCAACAGTGGCTTTAATCTTGGAGGCTCCCTGATGCTGATGGCTTTTCCAGAAAGCTTAGATGGGCACCTCTGGCAGCAAATCCAAAACAAATGTCCTAAGGTCAAAGCTGAAAATCACCTGATCCTCCTTCTAAAACGAATTCTGCCCTGGGCAGAGCAGTTCCCTGCTGCCAGACACCCCGTGACCCAGTTCTGCATTCGTGGTAATTGGGGAATCAGTGGCAAATCTCGAGAAGAATGTAAATAAGTGACTGCACCACAAATTAACACCTCTGCCCTGATGAGCCCTCCCTGCTCATATCTAAAGCACTAACTGTTTTCCTAAATGATCATTAAGGCACTGCCAGTTAAGCTACTGAAACATGTTGGCTGTGGCTCAATCTGGGGGCAAAACTGAAGGGGCAAAAGCTTCCTGGGCAACAAGACCCCACCTCTCTGTCTTCAGAACAACATAACAGCAGGACAGAGCTCCGTGGGGCAGAGCTGCTTCCCACAGGGAGAGTAAAACCCTTAGAGAAGGTGAAGAACCAGCTCTGTGTATGCTGGGCATCATCAGAGCGACAGAAATCAAGGGGGGTGCTCACCCCAGCAGGTCCTTGCTCTCCTGCCAGGCCAGAAGGTCACAGTGGCTGTGACAGTCCAGCTGAGGGATGGGAAGGGGACAGCAGTGGCAGTTTTGGTGCCATGGCTCTTGCTCTTTCACTGCGTTCAGACTTGTGTCAGATTTGGCCGCAGTTGGCAGCGAAGCCAACTGTGCCAGGCTAGAAATGGGCACTGAAGGGTTTCATCTTTCTGAAACTACCTCTTTCAAGAGCTTTCTCCAGCGGTGACCTCACTCTTCTGATGGAGCAATGGTGTGAAATCATCAGCTCAGCACAGCCATGCAGCTGAAGCCGAGGGTGGTGCTGCCCCCGCTCTGCTGCTGGGGTGGTTCCCACGCGTGGGCTCTGCTGCTGGGGCTCCCCCCTGCAGCTGCCCTGGCAGAAGCTGTGCCCACCCTTCTCCAGAGGGTCCTGAAACAGCTGAGCCACGCCTGCCAAGCGCTGTGCTTCCCTGCAGTCTCTGGAGTGAAACGAGGTCTGCTCAGCGCTTTTGGTGGGCAGAGACTGGAAAGAGAAAATAAAAGCATCACAAATACTGGGGTTGCCACACAGGCTGATCCTTCCCACGCAGAGGAGAGCAAACCGTGTTCTAACATGACCCTGGCAGTGACAAATCTTGCTGCAGAGCTGCATCTGTAATTCAGATGGGCTGCTAATTCAGATGGCTGCTACTCAGAGCTTGATTCTCACCTTGCAATAGTTTTTACATCAAGCCAGGGGTTATTCCTGACTTAGCAGCTCGAGTCCTCTCCTCTTTTCTTTTTTCTGCAGTTATCCTTGTGCTAACAGTGACACCAAGGCCAGTAAGACACTCTGCAGGGTTTTTTCCCCACCTGCCTAGAAGGAAAATCACTGAGCAAAGGGGTTGTTTGTCATGGTGTGGAAATAGCTGTGCTTTGCCCTGTGACAGGACTCCAAACTGATTCAACCTGCTTGGTTTCCAAAAAGAAAAAAACAACAAACTTGCCCCAAAGCAGAGCAAGAGGAATAACCACTAACTGAGCAAACCCTGTGGACTTTGGGACTGAGATTGATGTTCCAGCCCTGCTTTTGTTTGGAGCAGTTTTCCAGAAGTTCTCCCAGGCTGACAAAGTTCAAGCTGTATTTCTGCTGTGGTGTTAAATTAGGCAGGCTCCTGGGCAGGGGGGTTACCAGAAAACCCCTGGCTCCAGGCTTCTCACTTGAGAGGCTGGAGATCCCAACTTCTATGATGACTTTTCTGCCTCCCTGCCTTGTTCAAATCTCATAATATGCTGACTAATTGCATGGTTAATGCAGCAATATTTGATATTGTGTGGAGTTACCTCCTGAGATGCCTCCTCAGCTCTGTCCATAGTCCAGGGCTGCCAAATGCTTGTTTCACTGCTTCCTCCCCAGCTCTCTGTTCCTGTTTCCACAGTAAAATAAAAACCTTACACAAAATAAAGAACACAAGAAACAAGACAATGGCCTCTGTCACAAATCAGATGGCAAATTGGGTTCTTTGGTAAAGTCACTGGCTCAGCCAATGAGCCTGGAGCAGTTCTTGGCTTGGGAATTCAGTTTATGAGGAACTTTGGTTTGAGGGTTTTCCACTGGAACGTGCAATGGCAGCTCTAAGAATAGGAATTAAAAAGGGAGAGAAAAGCAGATGCTGCACTGAAGAGCAAATATGCTGAAATCCCTCCTGGGCCTGACAAAGGCTGAGAAGTAATCCCGGATTTATCACATGATATTGAAGTGTCCAGATACCAACCTAGGCCTGTGCTGGGGAAACCGAGACATGGTCAAGATATTGCATCATTTTTACACTTTAACTTCTTGAATCCCACTATGTAATGAGAATATTTCTGGGCTTTGGTTTCACAGGAAGAGAGGAGAGATTTCCTGCCCTGCTCAGTGGGATGGGAACACAACTTCCAAGGTAGGCAGCCAGAATGCTGCCATCGATTTTTTGCACATCAGAAATCATGTCTCCTCACACCCTTGCAAACATCTTCACCCCATGTACCTTCACACCCCCAAATATCCTCACAGCCTTGCAAGAAAGATCCGTGATGCCACGCTAACGTTCCTAGGATGTGCTCAATGATGGAGCACAACTCCATCCTCTGCTTTCCACCAGTTTTGCTTTAATTCACTGGAGGAAAGCAAGTTGTACTCATGGTGTTACACTCATTTTGCCTTTCAGTTGCAGCTGAATTCAGGATGGCGTCAGAGAAGACCACAAAAAAAGAGCTGCTGAAGGCTGAGGAGCAGCAGCAGGCGGTAGGTGCCAGGGCAGCCCGTGCTCACACGTGCCCCAGCTGAGCCACCCACTGACAGACACACTGGTTAACCACCTTCTGGAGCCCCAGTGCCTCAGAACCAGGCTGGGAGTAGCAGAAAGATGAACTGCATGAAGCTGTGGCCAAATCTAAACTCAGCTAATGCAGAGCTGATTTTTTTTTTCCTGCTCAAGAGAAAGCTTCAGGGTTGGCTCAAGTAGTTACAGGTCCTGTTTCCACATCTGGGTTTGGTGCTGAAACCCAGCGTGACTCAATTTATGAACCCAGAGCTTGAAATTTTTAATCCTGACTTGCTGCTGACTTGCTAGCAGTCTTCAGATGAGTTCCTTCAACTCTTGAGTTTAAGGATGAGGAGATGGACTGGATGTCCCCTTAAGATATTTCTGGATAGACACGTCTTGTATTCACCCACCAGCTTGATGCTGGGTCCCTAATATCACATTTCTCTTGGGTTTTAGAGCGCTGTCAATCGGGTGTCCAGCTTGCCCTTGCTCAGCTCTGCATTCAACCTGGTCTCATCTGCCTACAACCACACCAAGGAGTCTCACCCTTGCCTCAGTGGTGTCTGCAACGTGGCCGAGACCGTGGCTGCCGTCGCAGTAGGTAGTGTGCTTGGTGGGGCACAGCCCATCCTGAACCAACTTGAGCCACAAAGTAAGTAACGAGGCTGGGAAGGCACAATGGAGACTATTGGACCTGCCAAATTGGAGGGGTTGTTCCCTTTTTAACAAGATACCCCACGCACACAAACCTCACTGCAGAACAAGGGGCTTGGGTTGGGTTTTTTGGCTTGCTTTCATGAGTGTATCCTGAATTGGCCATTGTAGGGTGAGAAACCCATGTCCAAACTGAAGAATAAATTAGTCCCTGTTGTCTTTTCTAGTTGCACTTGTAAATGAATATGCCTGTAAAGGACTGGATCAGCTGGAGGAGAACTTGCCTTTTCTTCACCAGCCAGCAGATAAGGTAATGTAAAGGAAGAGCCATGACTCGACCTCTTGCTTCATGGAACTGCCATGGCTACAGAAGAATATGGGGAAATAAACTTCAGCAGCTCTCTTTTGTCAGGGCAGTCCCTGGTACAGGCTAGAGGAGGCACTTTTACCTGATGAAAGCTGGAGAGATGCCTTCAGCAGGTGGAAGTGAACATATCCATATAAATACAGGTGTACTGACTTCCCCAGCTCTCCCCCAAGACTGCATGCAGGTTTAGCCATGGGGAAAAGCTACCTCAGGGGAAAAAAAACTATTTCAGAAAAAAAAAAAGTCTCTTTCTCTGCCTCTCCTTGTTGCAGGTAATCTCAGACACCAAGCAGCTAGTCTCCACCAAAGTCACATCTGCTATGGATGCTGCCTGTGAGGCAAAAGCAGCAATGGCTGATAAAGTAACTGAAGCTGTGGACCTCACTAAAAATGTTGTTGGGGACAGTGTCAAGATGACCAGGTCAATGGTTACCTCCACTGTTAACAGTGCTGTGGAGGCTGCTCAAGGTGCCAAGGACCTGGTCACTAACAAGGTGACCGAAGCCGTGGACCTCAGTAAACACATCGTGGAGGACAGCGTTGAGGTGACCAAGTCTGCAGTTGCCTCTACCATTGTCAGTGCTGTGGAAGCTGCCCAAGGTGCCAAGGACCTGGTCACTAACCAGGTGACCGAAGCCGTGGACCGCAGTAAACACATCGTGGAGGACAGTGTTGAACTGACCAAGTCTGCAGTTGCGTCTACCATTGTCAATGCTGTGGAGGCTGCTCAAGGTGCCAAGGACCTGGTCACTAACAAGGTGACAGAGGCAGTGGATCTCACCAAACACATTGTGGAGGACAGCGTTGAGATGACCAAGTCTGCAGTTGCTTCTACCATTGTCAATGCTGTGGAGGCTGCTCAAGGTGCCAAGGACCTGGTCACTAACAAGGTGACAGAGGCAGTGGATCTCACCAAACACATTGTGGAGGACAGCGTTGAGATGACCAAGTCTGCAGTTGCTTCTACTATTACTGCTGCTGTAGGGGCTGCCCAGGGTGCAAAGGATCTTGTGACCAACACAGTGACCGAAGCAGTGGACCTGACCAAAGGGGCTGTTCAAGATGGTGTTGAGAAGACCAAATCGATGGTCACTTCTACGGTCAGTACCGCTCTGGATGCTGCATATGGCACCATAACTAGCAAGATAAATACAGCCTTGGAGCAGAGCAGAGAGGCTATCCAGGAGGGTGTGGAGAAGACCAATTCAGTAGTGACCAACAGCATAAGCAAGGCAAAGGCAGTGAGCCAAGCAGTGGCAGGTGGTGTGGAATCTGTCCTGGGTATATCAGAAGATCTGGTGGATCAGTACCTCCCAATGACAGAGGAGGAGCTAGGTAAGAAAATATTCAGCTGGCAATTGTAAATGCAAATCCCTTCCCACGTGGCTGGAGAGCACCTGACACTGCAAGACTCATCTCCTGGAGCAGACGGGTAGCTCTGAACTCGTCACCAAGCTGGCTGGCTGTCAACACCAACTTGCCACATGGTATGGGACAGAGTCCAAGACCTGGTCCTTGCCCATCAGCCCCAAGGCAAATAAACACGTGGGTGCATGTTTCAACCTCTTTGTCAAGTCTGCTTATCCGAAGAGAACACGCTGAGCAGGGCCTGGCCTGCCTGTAACACCCCAGCAACTACAAACCTCTGCTGGTCACACAGCGAGCTCCAGCCTGGTTCCCACGGGTGATGCTCCCCCTGACAGCTGGGGGAGCGGAGCACAGCCGCCTCTCTGTTCTTGTCTCCTCCAGGTCAGCTGGCCACCAGTGTCGAGGGGTTTGGTGTGGCTTCTGTGGAGGAGCAGAGACAGCAGCAGAGCTACTTTGTGCGCCTGGGCTCCCTCTCCGGCAGGGTTCGGCTCCGAGCCCTCCAGCACTCCCTGCACAAGCTGCAGCTCGTGAAGCAAAGCACCCAGGATGCGCTCTCACGACTCCAAATGGCAATAAAACTGGTACCAACCTGCTCTTCCCTTTCTCCTCCTGTCTGTAGTCTTCCTGCCCTGCTACCCTGATGGAAGCTCTTCCTCCGTCCTGTGCCATCTTGCCTCTCATCTTGGACCCCTCCCCGGGAGGGAAGCACTTGTGCTTCTCTGCTTGTGTGCTTGCAGTACAGCTCTTCCTCTCGTTTTTCCCCATCAGATTGAATCTGTGAAAGAGGAGGTTGGCCAGAAGCTCTTGGATGGGCAGGAGAAGCTCCATCAGCTGTGGGTGGACTGGAGCCTGACCCAACCCAAAGGAAACCAAGTTAAAACTGCCTCCCAAGTAGAGGTATCCCTAGAAGGGCCTATTTAACCCGGCCTCGTGTGGCTGGTGTGCATCTCATCTGCTCCAGTAACTGAGCTCTGTCTCTTTCCCAGCAGGTAGAGTCACGGACTCTAGCTATGCTGCGGATCATCACCCAGCAGCTACAGCCTGTTTATGAGAACCTCAAAAACAGCATCCACGGCCTCCCCAGCAACATCCAGGAAGCAGTTTATCGGGCCACCCAAAATATCCACAAGCTCCATAGCTCTTTCTCCAGTGCTATGTCTTTCCAGGACCTCTCCAGCACCACCCTGACCCAGAGCCAGGCCTGTGTGACAGAAGCCCGGAGGTCTCTAGATGACCTGTTTGAGTATGTAACTCAGAACACCCCCCTAAACTGGCTCGTGGGTCCCTTCAAGGCGATAGCTAAGGTGTCACAGGACAGCAGAAAGCAGAAGACCAACAATATGGCAACTGATACAAAATCACCCGTGCTGGAAAAGGCTACACCAACACAGGAGGAGACCAAGACCCCCAAAAAACCAAAGGGAGCGGACAGGATCCCAAGGAAAAAGTGTGAAACGCTAGAGAAGCTGGAAGAGAAAGCAGAGAAAGACACAGAGGTGGACCTGGCTGCAAAGGAGATAAAAACTAACGCATCAGAGAAAGATCTCTGAAAAATTCCAGCTCTTCTAGCCAAGGCTCCCTGGCTAGAGCAGCACTTTACACCCTCTGTCCAACCACCAGACATGCCAGGAGTGTTTCCTGCTCTCTCCTGTCCCAGGCTGAGTTTACGGTAAGGTGCAGCTTGCAAGGAAACCTGATAACCAAGGTGGGGTCGCTCCATATCTCAATTTACTCATGCTGCCACACTGGAAGATGGGGACCTGTACTTCAGCTTTTTACATCAGCTCAGCTCTACATGAACGGCTAATGCTTCCTGAGACACGTCACGGGGGAGAAGTGGTCTCCACTTTTTAATGCCAGATTTGTTTTTAATTCATCCAAGCAGCAGAAGCCTCGAGAGGATGATGTGCTTGGCCTCTGATTTCATTTCCTTCTTTCTACAAGTTTAAAAATACCTGTTACAGGCAGGATTTCCCTTCTGCCTGCTGTGCTTCCGGGGAGGCTCAGCCCTGCAGCCCACCAGGGCCAGTGGAGGGTGAGAGGCTGCTTCTCAGAGATTTCTCATTATGAACCAGCCAAACGCTGCTTCTTTCATAGCTTAACCAGGTGGGATTTTCTTTTAAGCCAATTTGGAGTGGGATCATCTTTCCTAGTCGTATGAATTACTTCACAGATCATCTGTTTGTGTGGAACTCCACACACAAAACCTTTTGCAGCCGTTAAGAAGCCAGCACACGAGGCAGGTTTTGCCAGGAGTTTTGGCAAAAGGATCTTGGTATTAAAACAGGGGAGAGAGGTGCTGGTTATTTTCCCAGCAAACAATGCTTTGTAACCATTTCTAATGTAATTTAGGCCCTGGTGTAGTCCCTGTGCTATGGTTGGAATAAGGGCAAGCAGACTTCAGAATAAAGCCTAAGTTCAAAGAAATGTTTCTTGTGTCTTTCTAAAGCCCCAGTGTTGTGTTCCCCCAGAGCCCATGTTAATACAAAGCTTGCACTTAACAAATCCCTTCCCTGGAACTTGATGTTCCCTGATCTTGCTGGAGGTGAAAAATAAACGCTTTTAGCAGCTCCCATGTTCTGCCTCTGCCTGAAGCAATAAAGCAACTTCACACTTTAGTTCCTGGCATTC